ATCATTTATTTCTGCTCTGATCCTCACTATTTCTTTCCTTCTACTTGCTCTGGGTTTTTTTGTTTGTTTGTTTGTTCGCTCTCTAGTTCTTTACGTTGTGAGGTTAGATAGTCTATTAGAGATTTTCCTTGTTTTTTGAAGTAAGCCTATAGTGCTGTGAACTTCCCTCTCACAACTGCTTTTGCGTCTTGGTCGGTTTGCCTCAGTGGTTAGAATGTTGTCCTGTGGTCCGGAAAGACCTGCGTTCAGTTCCCGCTAGGGGCATGTACCTCAGTTGCAGTTTGTCCCCGGCCCTGGTTGGGTCGTGTGGGTGGCAACCACTCGATGTGTTCCCTTCACGTTGATGTTTCTCTCCCTCGCTCTCTCCCTCCCACTCTATCTGAACAAAATATAGGAAAAAAATATTCTCGGGTGAGGATAAAAAAAAAACAAAACTGAACTACTTTTGCTGCATCTCATAGGTTTTGTGTTGTTGTGTGTTCATTTTCATTTGTTTCCAGGAAGTTTTTAATTTCTTCCTTGATCTCCTTGGTAACCTATTTGGTGTTTAATCACATGCTATTTAGCTTCCATGTTTTCAGATGTCTTTGCATGTTCTTGTTCAAATGATTTCTAGCTTCACGCCATTGTGATCTGAGAAGATGCTTGATATGATTTTAATCTTCTTGAACTTGTAGAGGCTTAGTTTGTGTCCTAACATGTGGTCTATCTTTTAGAATGTCCCATGTGCACTTGAGAGGAATGTGAATTCTGTACTTATGGGGTGTAATCTCTGTAGATATCTATTAAATCCATTTGGTCTAGTGCTTCATTTAGAGTCTCTGTTTCCTTGCTAATTTTTTATCTAGAGGATCTATCTAGTGATGTCAGCGGGGTGTTGAAGTCCCCAGCTATGATTGTATTGCTATCGATTTCTCTTTTGAAGTCTTCCTGAAGATTTTTAATATATTTTGGTGCTCCTATATTGGGTACATATATGTTTATCAAGGTTATATCTTCCTGTTGGACAAATTCTTCCAATATTATGTAGTGGCTTTCTTTGTCTCTAGTTATGGCCTTCATTTTGATATCTACTTTATCAGATATGAGTATTGCTACCCCAGCTTTTTTTTCTTTTTGTTTGCTTGGAAGATTTTTTTTTCATCCCTTCACTTTCAACCTATGTGAGTCTTATGTTGTGAGGTGGGTCTCTTGTAAACAACATATAGATGAGTCATGCTTTCTTATCCAATCAGCTATCTTTTTATCAGAGCATTCAATCCATTTACATTTAAGGTGCTTATTGATATGTACTTATTTATTGCCATTTTTGTTTAGTGTGGTTATGTTTTTCTTCCCATTTCTCCTGCTGAATACAGCAGTCCTTTTAACATTTCTTGCAGTGCTGGTTTGGTTCTAATGTATTCCCTTAGCCTTTTTTTGTCTGGGAAGCTCTTTATTTGACCTTCTATTTTGAATGATAGCCTTGCTGGGTAGAGTAGTCTTGGATTGAGATCCTTGTTTTTCATGACCTTGATTACTTCATGCCATTCCCTTCTGGCCTGCAGTGCTTTTGTTGAGAAGGTAGCTGAGAGCCTTATGAGATTTCCTTTGTAGGTAACCTGTTGCTTATCTCTTGCTGCTTTTAGGATTGTCTCTTTGTCTTTAATTTTTGACATTTTGATTACTATGTGTCTTGATGTTGGCTTGTTTGGGTTCTTCTTACTTGGGGCTCTCTGTGCTTCTTGAACTTGAATGCCTTCTTCCTTCACCAAATTAGGAAAGTTTTCTGTCACTATTTCTTCAAATATATTCTCTAACCCTTGCCCCTTTTCTTCTTCTTCAGGGACTCCTATGATGTGAATGTTATTATGTTTCCAGTTGTCCCATAGTTCTCTTAAGCTGTCTTCCTGTTTTTTCATTGTTTTATCCTTTTGATTTTTTGATTGGTTGATTTTTTTCTACCTTATCTTCTAATTCACTGATCCGGTCCTCCACTTCCTCTACTCTGCTATTTTGACCTTGCAATGTGTTCTTTATTTCTGATATGTTATTCTTCATTTCTTTTTGGTGGTTTTTAATTTCCAACTGGTTGATCTTCAACATTTCTATGTCTTTACTCGTGGTGCTCATGTCCTTACACATTTGTTGAGCTTCCTCAAGATCATGGCTCTGAATTCCAGTTCTGTTAACTTGCTTAACTGCATCTCCTTTTTCTCATCTTCGGTAGAGTCTCTTGGTCTTTCATTTGGCTCTTGTTTCTGTGTTTCACCATTTGGCTATCACAGTAGGCTTTGGAGCCTGCTAAATTTTCCCTGTGCATGTTGGTGTTCTGCTGTTTGTGGCTCCCTCTCCTGGGTTTGGATTAGCCAGGGAGGACCCACATTAAACACCACTGTGAAGTCTTACTTTCCTGGTTAGTATTGCTAGCCCCAGAAGGGTACAGTTATCCTCTAGCTTTTTGCCTGCAGGGTATCAGTAGGGTTATTTGAAGAGCTTTGGCTTTTCAGTTGAATGAAAAACTCCCACAGGTGCTCATCATAAGGGAATTTCCCGAGGGTGGGGCAGATGCTGGTTGTTAATGGGCCTAATTTGCAATTCAATAGCCACTGGGTGGGGTTGAATCTCAGAGGGAGTGGTCGCTGCCTCCCCCCAGAGCCCTGGGAAGGAGTAAGATGCCCACAGACATGCGTGGCCACAACTCAGCAAAATGTCTGAGTGCCCTCCAAATCTCGAGTGTCCCTACAGAGTTCCAGTCCAGTCTGCCCTCCCTCTGTCAGAGCCCAAGGTGAGTGGCTGTGGCTATTTTAGTCTCTGTCCTGCCTCTGGGCTGTGGAGCCACTTGGGAGTTTAACCTGAAGGTGTTGCTCACAGCTAATGCCGCTGCCAACCATGGGCTCCCAGCCCCCCTCTCATATCTCAGCAAGCCTACTAGGATTGAGTCAGTGTCCCTGGGTATGTGGTTCTCCAAGCTGCTTTTCTGTTGCTTTTTCCTGACAATTTGTCTTTATTTTCATTATAATTCCCGTTTGGTCCTGGGAGATGGTCTGTGTAGCTTCCATTCACTCTGCCACCATTTTGGAATTCATGACTCATTTTTTAATGGATGAAGAACTTCAGGCTGAGTGGGTGACTTGTTCAAGGTCACACTGGTGGTAACTGATCAAAGCTGCTGCCTCCTAACCCAGTATCTTTGTTCATTGATTTTTTGGGGAAAGAGACTAATTTGACAGAACTGCCTGGTTACATGAGGTTGAAAACTTGGAAAGTTGCCGATTACCCTAAAAATAAATCAAAGCCAGAATTTTACTTTTGCTTTAGTTATTAATATTTTACAGCATACATCCACTTTCAGTTATTTTCTTAAGCCAAGTAGATGTCAAAGGAAAATCAACATTTACCTGATCAACACCCTCAGCAACTGACAAACTCCACAGCATAGAGTACAAATAGTTTGATCTGACTCACTGTTATGAGTCTGAAAAGGACTTCCATTTATCTTTGCCTGTTTAAACGTTCCCAGTGCTTTCAGACTTCTTCAAAGATCACCTATTCTATGAAAGCTCTGATACTCTCAACCAGGTATGATCCCTTCTTCTGTCACTATCATTGTGGTTTACTTGTGTTCATTGTTGTTTTATAATACTTTGTGCTGTTAAATTCATCAAACATGGATGCTATTGGACTGGGCAGCTCGAATGCCATAGCCTATGTAAGCAGACTGTGGTCTAAGCCCGTAGTGCCCCGAGATGAGGAAATCAGAATGCTAAGGACAACCATTCTCAGTCAACTAGTCTTTACCCTATAGTCAGTCGATAACTTCTTTTCTGTTTCTGCACTTTCTCTAGATAAGTCTTTCCCTAGATCCTATCACTTCCAGTTTGGCACTGCCTGATTAGAATGGATTTTTATTCAAATAAATTATTAAAATTTTTAACATGCCTCAGTTTATCTTTAACAGTTCTGATGTTGGAAGAGGAAGCTAAGGAGACCACCGACACCCTAGGAGCAATGAGCGACCAGACTAGGTACTGTGGAGCCCCGGAGCTCTGCTTTCTCGCTGCCTCTGGAAGTTGTGGGCAAGTCCCTCTCAGGTCTGAGCTCAGCAGCTTTCTTTCGTATAATGAGCTTTCATGTTTTATTTGAGCATTTCTTTTTCCGGAAACTGGCCAGGGTTGGACTAGGTCTGACTTAGAAACTCCACTGGGTCCAGGGTTGGACTGAGTCTGCCTTAACCTATACTGGGTGCGGTGTGAGGCCTTCGGTAAATAAAACCTTGTCATAAGGCTGAACAAGCAGACGAATCTTACCAAAGATCATCTTGAATTAGAGTAGCCACAGTGAAGAACATTTAACCTAGATAAGCTTATCCATTTATAAAGCACCCTTAGAGAAAAGGGGTCTCAGCCAAGCACTCACCATGAAGAGTAGAGGGAGATTATTTTTTTCTCCTCTATAGTTTCTGGTGGCTAAGACAAGACTTGCTGGGTCATCTCACTCACTTCAGACCCTGCTGACAGCATGCAGGGAAAACTGGAAGAAACCGGCAAGGGTAAGAAAACTTTACCAGTCAGCTCACCTAGATGAAAATGTCATCATCTCTTTTCCAAATTCAGAGAAGCAGGAAAAAATATTTGTAAGAATTAGATCTTTGAATTATGACTCGTGAATATGGTTTGGTACCTGTGTCCTCCTAGGATCAACTATTGCTTTCTTCATCTCATTTTTGTCCTTAGAACTTGGCCTGCCTGAGGCACACAGGTTCTTGTGTGTGGGATACCTACCCAAATGTCAGTTTGGGGTGTCCCACATGGCCAGACAGAACTGTGGGTTGTACTCCATTTGTAACTAGGATCCTTACCAACTATTGGCAGCTCTGAGAGAAACTGTCTCTTTCCTTTCTTTGGTTAGTTTTGGGAGTGGCTATGGGTCTCTTACACCCTCTTTGGGGACACCTCTTGAGTTCATGATATTGTTCATTACTGCCAGAAATATTTACTGTTGCTCCAGCAGAAACCTGACAAGATAATGCAACAGAATTTTTTTCCCCCTATCACAAATTGTGCATCGAGTTTCCCACATTTGGGGAAATTGCAGGGGTCAGCACATCTGGAGGGCAATGAATAAGCCTCACCCTGGAGAAACCACCTTCATGATCATGGTACCTCTCCTGCCAGGTAAGTATTGCAACAGAATTTTAAAAGTAGCTCCATGATCAGAAGTCAGCCAAATTGGAAGCCAATATTCAAAACCTGATAGAAACTTTTATAGGCCTTGTTACCCAAGCTAAAATGAAAGCATGTACCCAGAAGGAAAGAAGAACATTCTGAGGCTTTCTGTGGAAGGAAAAAGACACACAGCTCTAGGTTTAGAACATCAGACTCTTTGATTCCTATCTTAGCTGAAGGTCTCTCTGATATAAAGAAGCAAATTGAAGATAATATAGTTTGGTGGGTGGGTCAACCTCTTGATATCATTCAGGCTGCAACCCAATTCTCAGAGGAATTAAAAACAACCAAAATTGTCATCCTCACAGGGTGATCTGATCATAAATTCCTAACGGGGCTGGTCTGATGGGCAGTCACGCCCCAGGCACAACACTTCTTTTTTTCTTTTTTATTAATTAATTTATTTATTTTGTTAAAGATGTTTCTCCTTTCTCCCTCACTGATTCCCCCCTCACTCTCCCTCCCTGCCCTGTCCCCAGTTTCATTGTCCATGTCCTCTGTTCATGCATACATGCATATAAGTTATATGCTTTATCTCTCCCCCTCTATCCCCTCTTCTGGGGATTGTCAGTCTGTACCCCACTTCCACGTCTCTGGGACTACCCCATTTCTGTACCCCACTTCCACGTCTCTGGGACTACCCCATTTCTCAGACTGTTATGTTCAATATATTCCACAAATAAGTGAGATCATATGATACTTGTCTTTCTCTGATTGGCTTGTTTCAGTTAGGATAATACTTTCCAGGTCCCTCTATGTTGTCTAAAGGATAAGAGATCTTTCTTTCTTTCTTACAGCTGCATAGTACTACACTGTGTATATGTACCACTGCTTTTTGATCCATTTGTCTACTGATAGACACTTGGGTTGTTTCCAGATCTTAGCTACTGTAAATACTGCTGCTACGAACATGGGGGTACATATATTCTGTCTGATTGGTGTTTCAGGCTTTTTAGGGTATATTCCTAGAAGTGGGATCACTGGGTCAAATAGAAGTTCAATTTTTAAGTTTTTGAGGTAACCCCATATTGTTTTCCATAGTGGCTGCACCAGTCTGCATTCCCACCAGCAGTACACTAGAGTCCCCTTTTCTCCACACCCTCACCAACACTTGTTGTTTGATGATTTGTTGATGGCGACCATGCTGACAGGTGTGAGGTGATACCTCATTGTTGTTTTAATGTGCATCTCTCTGATGATTAGTGATGTTGAGCATTTCTTCATATGTCTCTTAGCCATTTGTATGTCCTGTTTGGAGAGGTGTCTATTTAGTTCCTCTGCCCATTTTTTAATTGGTTTCTTTGTCTTCCGTTTGTGGAGTTGTGTGAGCACTCTATATTTATTGGAAATTAACCCCTTATCTGATATATCATTAGCAATTATACTCTCCCATACAGTGGGTAGCCTTTCTGTTTTGATGATTGTATCTTTCGCTGTGCAGAAGCTTTTTAGTTTGATGTAGTCCCTTGTGTTCATTTTCTCCTTTGTTTCTATTGCCTTAGGTGATGTGTCAGTGAAAATTCTGCTGCGTATGATGTCTGAAATTTTGTTGCCTACAGTTTCTTCTGGGATTTTTATGGATTCATGAGTCACATTTAAGTCTTTTATCCATTTTGAGTTTATTCTTGTGTAGGGTGTAAGTTGATGGTCTAGTTTCATTTTTTGCATGTAGCTGTCCAATTTTCCCAACACCATTTATTAAAGAGGCTCTCCTTAGTCCACTGTATGCTTTTGCCACCTTTGTCAAATATTAATTCAGCATATTTCCTTGGGTCCATTTCAGTGTTCTCTTCTGTTCCACTGGTCTATATAGGCCTGTTCTTGTGACAGTACAAGGCTGTTTTGATTATAGTGGCTTTGTAGTATAACCTGAAATCTGGTAATCTGATCCCTCCAACTTTGTTCTTCTTTTTCAAGATTGCTGTGGCTATTTGAGGTCTTTTTTGGTTCCATATGAACTTTTGAAGTATTTGTTCTAATTCTGTGAAGTATGCTGTTGGTATTTTGATGGGGATTGTATTGAATCTATAGATTGCTTTGGGTAGTGTGGACATTTTAATCCATGAACAGGGTATGTGATTCCACTTTTTTATATCTTCCTCCAATTCTCTTTTCAATGACCTGCAGTTTTCTGCACATAGGTCCTTTATTTGTTTGGTTAAGTTTATTCCTAGGTATCTTAATTTTTTTGCCGCAATGGTAAATCGGATTGTTTTCTTACTTTCTCTTTCTGTGAGTTCATCATTGGTGTATACGAATGCCATCGATTTTTGACGTTAATTTTGTATCCTGCTACTTTGCCAAGTTCATTTATTAAGTCTAGTAAATTTTTGATGGAGTCTTTGGGGTTTTCTATGTATAGTATCATGTCATCTGCAAATAATGACAGTTTCACTTCCTCCTTTCCAATTTGGATCCCTTTTATTTTTTCTTCCTGTCTGGTTGCTGTGGCTAAGACTTCCAGTACTATGTTAAATAAGAGTGGCGAAAGTGGGCATCCCTGTCTTGTTCCTGTTCTTAAGGGAAATGCTTTTAGTTTTTGCCCATTGATGTTGACTGTAGGTCTTTCATATATGGCCTTTATTATGTTGAGATATGATCCCTCTATTCCCACATTGCTGAGTGTTTTTATCAGAAATGGATCCTGGATTTTGTGAAAGGCTTTTTCGGCATCTATTGATATGATCATGTGGTTTTTATTCTTCATTTTATTCATGTGGCATATCACATTATTGATTTGCAAATATTGTATCAGCCTTGCATCCCTGGGATAAATCCCACTTGGTCATGGTGAATAATTTTTTTGGTGTATTGCTGGATCCAATTTGCTAGTATTTTGTTCAGGATTTTGGCATCTATGTTCATTAGGGATATTGGCCTGTAGTTTTCTTTCTTTGTAGTGTCTTTTTCTGGTTTTGGAATTAGAATTATGCTGGCCTCATATAAGAAGTTTGTAAGTATTCCTTTTTCTTGAATTTTTGGAATAGTTTGAGGAGAATGTGTGTAAGTTCTTTTTTGAATGTTTGGTAAAACTCCCCCATGAAGCCATCGGGCCTGGGCTTTAGTTTATATCACTTCTTTAGTAAAGGGTTTATCTCTGCCTTTTACAAGCCCTGTGCATTGTTTCTGTACATCTGGGTTAACAGCCTTTGTAATGCCTCTTTCCCCACATGCTGTACCCAATACCCTCCTGGCTTTTTCCCACCTCCACATACTCTTTCTTCCCACCTTTATTCCAAATGTATAAAACAAGCTGAAAACTGTCATCCCCCAAAGCATTCTCTCAGTCTGTTGAGATCTAGCTTCCAGGCACATCCTCTGTTTGGCTCAAATACATTTTTATAAAAAATCTCTAGAGGTTTGGATACTCCCTACCTCCACCGCAAAAACAGAAATGTGCCTGTGATAACAATTCAAAGCCCACTTATCCCTTTCACTAATTCCATATCCTCCCCTATTCCTCTCAAAGGCTTGTAGATATTGTAAAAGGTCTGGATTTAGGAAACATGAGTCCTTCTGGGAGAAACTTGCATTCTTTCTCTGTGCCTTTGAGTGTAAATATTTTACTTTCTCTAGGAACCCAGAGCCATCTCTTGAAATGCAAGCTTTAGGGTGGAATTATTATCAGAAAGGGGGGAAAAAAGAATCTATTTGGAAATTAAGTGAATGAAAAATCTAAAATATCTTTTCCAAAAATGTTAGTAAAAAGCTTTAGCTATCTGAGCAGATAATCCTGCCTTATTCCATCTGCCAGAACACAATTGGATTCCAACTGTTCTCTTACAAACTAGTGAGTTTTGTATTATTGTACATTATTATACCTGTCTTGCAATTAAAATTTTAAACAAAAGCTATAAGGTCTCTATGTCTGTTTATATGTTTATGTATGTCTCTATATGTATGTTATAAATTTGTAATATTTTTCTATCTCTGGGTGGTATTGCCAAAATTAATTTGTAAAGAGCTCTATTTAAGTGAATTAATAAATAGTAAGTGCTTACATTAATTAAGTACACTCTGAGCAATATAAAATCTAGTCCAAATGTTTTTCAAGTTCACATGATTTAGAATAATCTCCAATAAACAAAAGCTAGTTTAAGTTTGCTGGCTTAATTAAAATAGGCATGTCTTCAGTGTTATCAGCTTTAAATATAACGCAGACATAACAACTTTCATTCTGCCTGGGTGTTCTAGTCATAGTTCATGCTATTGCCTACTAAATTTGTCAGCAAGAAAAATAACTTACAAAGTGGGTAGCTGTTTAATTAAATTTCCACAAATAAGCTAAACATAATTATTAAGAAAATGCAGATATAAGTAAGATAAAAGGCCATAAGTAAACTTTTAAACAATAATTGTTTTATGGTATTTCTACTTTAAAAAATTTTCTAAAATCTTTTCAGTAACTTGAAACCTTCAAGTTATATGATGATATAAATTAAGTTAAATGATGGCTATTCATTGAATATCTAGATTATTTACAAGTAAGATAAAAATACTAAAACATTAACTACTGAACATAGGTTTATCTATTCTTGGCAAAGTATACTTTTTCCAACTAAAGCAGAGCCTGGCACTGAGCTCCAACTGTTTTCAGCCTTTCAGAAATATGCCTTCAGAGAGGATAGCATTAAAGGCATAAGCTATGAAGGTACACTGTCTGAGTTTGAATCCCGATTCACAGGTCACTAGATAGACGACTTTAGAAAAATGCTTAACCTTCTTGTGCTGCAGTGATAGCAATTCATCACAGAGATATATTATTGCAATAATTCTTTGCAATACTTGTAAACAATTACAATGCCTAGAATGTACTGTCAACTAAAATGAGCAGTTTCTAATTTTCAGCAATTATAAACCCAAATATTTATGTGAAATCCCAATGTTTATGTCAATAACTTTGTCAAAATTTTAATTACAGCTGTGTATTTTAAAAATATTAAAAACACTGGTCATC